AAAAATTCGGCTCAGTTCTACTTCAGGACAGACATTCTACTAGGCGCTTGACACCTTTCAATCAAATTCTTCAGTATCACTGTGAAACAGAAACTATTACTCTTATTTTGCATTTGAGAAAATGGAAAAATGAGGCCTCAAGTATTGCTGTAGGACACATGATGTGGGGAGTGGTGGAGAGAATTTTTCAGAGGTAACTACTATTTATTGTGTATCTGTTATATGCCAGGTGCTTCATAAGGGGCCTATCACTTAATCTCTCCAAACCTGCATGGAGAGATATGCTTTTAATTAAATGGAATTTACCTCCATTCTTCTGAATACATAAAAGTTTCTTCAGATAATTATCATCATAGGATATTATGTTGTGTTATGATAATCTGGCAGCATGATGTGGTTACGGGAGGTAAAGAATGCCACTTCGTTTTTACAGAGAGAGCTTTGGAATTATTAACATTTCAGGCAGGGCTTTTGCAGCTGATCGTAACTGAGCATTTGAAAACTTCTCATGCTTGTTCATGGGTGCCTCATGAACAGACATTCTGGAAGTTTCCTCCAGGCACACAAGAGGGCTTCTGGTGAATCAGATGCAACTGTTTGCATGTACCCTAAGTTTCTCTAAGTTCAGTGACACCAAAAAATGTCTAAGCAGGTATAAAGTTTACCACTCGTTCACCAGTTAGAGGTGGCTTGAGTTGGAAATATGCTCATAAGTCCAAGACTAATTACATGGGACACTTGTTATAATTGTTTTGTTTGTCTTCTTTGACAAAATTTCAGATTTTTAGGCCATCAACTCAGAGAGTAAATGTTTCTTGTTTATCTGCAGACAGACCCTTCCCCGTGGGTGGGGTTGGATGTGGCTTCCACCACAGTCCCAGTTGCAGGTACCACCTTAAATTGAAATTGCATTCCTCATGTTGAAAAGTCAGAGCTTTGGTTGCTTCTAAGTTGATCTTTGCTGTATTCATTCATGTTTATTAAGTGTGGTGAATATTCTAAGTCCCTGCTGATTTGTTTCCTTTCCCCAACCACAACTGCCTGTTCCATTTACACATATACAACTGTATCTACCTGCCTGCAAACATGTCCATTTAAACAAAATATTTGCATAATTGAGAGTATTTTTTTTTTCAATTAAATCTCCAATGCTAAGACAGCCAGAGATTATTCCTTAGGGTCTTCCAGATTGAAGAATGAACCCACTCACTATTTGGAAAGGAGAAGTTTGCTAGTTGGATGTATTGAATCTCAAACTAATATTTTATTAGTAACATGTAGCAAGTCTACTGATATGTGCCTTGTATAAACTGTCTTATATAACCTGCACAAATTATTTACAAGCCTCTTTACAATGGATGACACTTTTTGGGGGGGGAGGGGGAGGGGGAGGCAGTAGAAACTAAGTTGGTTAAAGAGTCATTGCACCTGGAGTAATAAGAGCTCTGGGATTTTAATACATTCCAAGTTATTCCAAAACCACATCTTTCAAGTCAATGCAACAAACTGGAAAGAGGATATGCAGAAGAAATGTACATAAAAATAAAATAACAACAACAAAAAAAAAACCAACAAAGATAGTCCTTTAATTCTCCAGAGCTCAATATTCCTATTTAGAAAAGGTGCCAAAGCAACTGTAAGGTCAGATTCCAAAAAGAGGATGGCAATGATATACCGACCCAAGACTGTCAATGTCTCTGTAATTATTGCATGTAATCTGGAGTGTATATTGTCATGCTGCCAACTTCCCATCTAGAGATATTGAATTATCTGACAGATCATAGTTTCGATTTGTTGGATATCCATTGTTCATGCCTCAAGATCAGCTCAGCAATCGTCACAGGATTCCTGATGCCTCATGAGCCTGACCTTCATGGACTGAATCAAGGAGCCTCCTTGCCCTCCACAGTCTCTTTGGGCCTCTCTAGTGGTAGTCCTGGCTGGAGGTTAGGGTGTGGGAGGAGAGGATATTGAGGTACTTATACTCTGGATACCCTCCATGCTGGATCCAAGTCTCAGAGTGTTTAGACAACCCTTTCTCAAAGGTTACATCGCGGTCGGTCTCTGTGTTGTGTCTCCTGTAGCTCAGGTCTTCTCAGGCTCTCAAAGTTTATTTTCCTCACTCCTCAGATCTATAAATGACAATGCCTGGTTATTAGTTTGGAATCCAGGATGATTCTTGATATTTTATTCATTCCTTTAATGCTCATGATACTTTTATATATAATCCCTTCCTTAAATTCTTCCTATGCTTTGAATCCATGTCCCCCCAATGGACCGTGTGTTATCGACATGGCCTTCAGGGTGTTGGGAGGTAGTGGGACCTCAGAAAAGTGAGGCCAGGTGGGAGGTTCCTAGGTCACTGCTGGTGTACCCTCAAAGGGGACAATAGGACTTCCACCATCCTTAGGACGCTGACAACTACACTGTGTTCCTTGGCTTATGATGTGAGTGGTGTGCTACACCACACACTCCTGCCATCGTGTGCTGACTTTGCCAGAGGCCAAGAGCAATGAAGCCACCTTATCTTAGACAGGAATCTCCAGAACAGTGGGCCAGAAGAAACTTTTTCTCCATATAAGTTAGTTGACTCTGGTATTTCATTGTAGTAATGTAAAACTGACTAACACAACTCTTTGATTTTCCATTTTGATTGTAATCTTTTTTCTTTTGAGACCCTGATTCAATTAATATAGAAGATCTTAGGGATACTTGAGAAAACTCTGAGTCTGTATCATATTTGTGATAAAACCTTAAAAACAAAAAGGATAGATGAAATGATCAACACTAAGGGAAGGTCTCTGCAGAACTATTCGATACAGTGTTTCTCTCTAATCATGAATGCAATGGATGTACATTGAACTGTCACTCAACTAATCATAGATTTTTTTTGAAAACCTAATTAAAATTATATAGGACTTCCCCTCAAATAAATATTTGTCCGCTAACAAATCCCAGTTTCACCTTTGTTCTAATCTTGGCACAGCATGATATTTCATTTAAAAAAAATAAATATGAGTTCCACAAATAAATGTAATAACAGAACATTTTCTAAATATTACTTACATCATTTTAAGAATTTTATCATAAAAGAGCTCTTCTTCATATCTCAAAGCAACATTTTATCAGATACTCTTTCATTTGTATTTATTCTCTCTCAAGCTAGCAATGGTCCAACCACTCACTCACATCAAGAGTCATTTGCCATCAAACTCTTTCCTTGAGTTTCCGTTCGGCACAGGTCTCATTGTTTTCTACCTATTTCCATGTCTTCCTGCTTCTCTTTTCTTTTCACTTCTCTGTCCCATTACTTGTCCACATTATAAATATCACTCCAAAACCACACTCAAAGATAGAACTCACTTAAATGGATAGAGGAAACAGAAACATGACTGAAAAATACCTTTGTTCTTTCACTTCTTAATGGAAAACAAGCTCTTGTGTCAGGAGAGTATATATGTTGGACCAACTTTCTAAATAAGTTTAAAGAGATCCAAAGAGATAGTGGAGCTAATTCACAAAAACGCTAGACTCTGAGAAAGTCATGAACTTCAAGTCCAAAACAAATGGACAGAGTAGAAAATGTATAACACAAATTAAAATAAACAGTAGAGAAGAAAAAATCTATATTCACAAAGCCCAGATAGATGTATGCTCTAATGACACCAGTAAGTCTAGACTAAATAATTAACTGTGTATTATTTGTATATTTGTGTATTATATATATTTGTATATTTCAATATACATGTATGTGTAACTTTGGCTATTTTTAACTAATTGTTTAAAAATATTCCCTTATGAGCTTTATACTCAATTTGCCTATTTATCTCTCAGAAATTTGTTATTTCAACTTTGTATACTGTATTTGCTATCAAAATTAAATATAATCATTTATATATATTAATGCTTCTTTGATAGATCACTATCAATGATAATATTCTGGGTGATATATTAGGATGTTTTTAGTCTTCTGATTTATATTGCTAAAGGTATTTCTGAAGAAGTGTAATCAATACACGCTTCTACTCTCAACAGGTGAGGTTCTTTCTCCATGAAATCCTCAGCAATTTATTTGATGCTAGATAAATCAGTAAAAAATTGCATACTGTTATTTTCATTTACATTGGAATGGAGGATTATGCTATAGTTCACATTTATTAACCATGCGTTTTACTCATTTAGACACTGGTGTTAAAGACACTGGTTTAGACACCTTTGGAAAAACTTAAATTTCATAGTGCTTCAATGTGGGGCATTTTTCTTTGTCAGTAATTTTGCATTTCCTATCTGTGATTTACTGTTAATATCACATTTTTAAAACAACCCTCTGTCCAAATATGACGTTCCTTACAAATTACTATTGTCAATTTTACATTAATATTTAGTGTTTTTCCTCTCTATTGGCCTTCTCAGTTATTATTTCCATCTAATATTTCCATTCGGAATTTCTAAAATGCCAAAAGTCTAATGTAGTGTAATTTCTCCGGCATATAAAACTGTTTGATTAGGGGCCCATTATTAATTTCAGTTAGGTTTCGGTAAGAGAGTATCGTGTTTATGAGTTTTGATTACATAGAAAACTAAATTTGCATAGTTATTTATAAAAATATAGAAACAATGTCCATAGTTATTAGTTATATGACAAAATACAGTGAGATGTAGCAGTGGCATGATTGTTAGAGTAAAGACTATTGAGTTTTTATTCTGGAAGGAGGCTGTAATTAAATTCTTCTGGGTCTAACGTGAACCTGACCAGCTGCCATTGTATATTTTGCCCATCAATTTATAAATCACTCAGTTTACTCAAGGAGGACTATTGAATGTGCAAAGGGGTTTCAAATACCAGCACTAGTCTTTGGTTACATGGAAATCTTCATAGCCTAGGGAATCGAACATCTCATTTCTTTTACCCATCAGCTATTGGTCATGACTTTCAAATCCACTCTCATTGTCACTCAGGTCACTGTCTTCTGGACTCACTCTCCTATCTGTCAGTGTTCTGTTCTAAAATCAGCCCAAACTGGGAAGCCCTTTCCTTCTTATACTACATAGTATTCCCCAAATCCTGTCTCATGTAATCAAGAACAAAAATAATAACTTAATGAATACTTTTCATATACCAGAGACGATTTAAGGTTCAACAGAAACAGTTTTGAATCTATCGTTATCGAGCTTACAGAGAAGAACAGGCCAAATTTCTCCACTCCATTGTTTTTTATCAGATGATATGGAAAGCCTTATCCAGTTATTGTCCATGCTTCTTCTGAACTTGTGCTTAAAGGTAAAACTATTTTCTGTATCCAAATAATTTTGAATCCCAAAGTTTGCATTGCTGAGACATGAATGGAGTTGCTTGTTGTTACCTTCAGAAAAGTTTCTGAAATGACTACTACAGGGCTGGGGTTGTGGCTCAGTGGCAGAGCGCTTGCCTCGCACATGCAAGGCCCTGGGTTCCATCCTCAGCACCGCATAATAAATAAATAAATAAATAAATAAATAAATAAATAAATAAATAAATAAATAAATAAGTTAAATAAATATATTAAAAAAATGACTACCATAAAAAAGGATTGTTTTGAACTCTTTATTAATTTTTCAAGAGAAAAATAATAGGCCCATGCTCTCAGCAATGTCAAATTCATTTTGCTCTCTTTGAGATTAAAGAAAAAATAAACAATCTTGAGAAAGAATGACAGAGTTGGAGAACTCTGAAGTAGAGTTTCAAAAATGAATGCAATGCAACAGTTGCTAAGACAGTGTAGTATTGAAATAAGGAAAGACTACAGAAGAAAGACTAAAATTGAGATTACGGAAATAAACATGGTAACTATTGATTTTCAATGAAGGTGCCATAGACAGGCAGTGAAGAAAGATCGTCTTTTCAACAAATGGTGCAGAGAAAACTGGATAGCTACATGAAAAAAAAAGTAAAGTTGCATGCCACATACAAGACTAAACAAGAATGAATAGAAGACCTAAATATAGGAGGATTAACCATAAAATTCTTAGGCAAACACATAGAAATAAATCTTCATCACTCTTTTTTTTTCAATGAACTCAGAAATGACAATGTAGAAGAAGACATTTTTCATAGGCATATCAAATTTCATCAAACTTAACGTTTATAGAACAAAGGACATAATCAAAAAAGTGAAAAGTCAACCTATAGAAAGTAGGGAAAATATTTGCCAAAACTACATTTGATAAAAGGTTTATATTTAGAATACACGAGGGGATATTTCCAGATGAATAATAAGAGAAATAACTCCAAATGTGTGCAAATAATCTCATGTCATTTTTCCAAAGAAAATGCAAATGTCCAGGAAGCACATAAAAAAGATGCCAAACATCATTGGCTGTCAGGAAAATGCAAATCAAAACCACATTGAGACACCATGATAACTAGAATAAAACAGTCACATAGTAAATTAACATGTTGGCAAGAGTGAGAAAAATTCAGACCCCCATGCACTGCTAGTATAAACAAACTGTCCACACAAAAGCTTACACATTAGTGTGTATTGCCACATCCACATCGTTCACAATATAGAAAATTGAAAGCAGCCCAATTATCCATCAACAGATTAATGGATTTATAAAATCTGTTGCATCCATAAAATGGTGTATTGTTTAGCCATTAAAAGTATGGATGAGCCAGGCATTATGGTGCATACCTGTAATCCCAGTTGCTTGGAAGGCTGAGGCAAGAGGATCTCGAGTTCAAAGCCAGCCTCAGTAAAAGCAAGGTGCTATACAACTGAGTCTCTATATAAAATACAAAATAGGTATGTGGCTCAGTGGTTAAGCACCCTTGAGTTCAATTCCTGGTGTTCCCCCACCCCCTAACAAAAAAGGTATGAATGAAGTGCTAATATATTCTACACTGCAGACAAACTTTGAAAACATCATGCTAAGGTGGGAGAAACTAGTCACAAGAGGCCACATATTATTATGTGATTCCATCTGTATGGTATGTTCAGAATCAGCAAATGTATAGAAATTGAAAATAAGTTAGTGGTTGCTTAGGCAGAGGTAGAGGAGGAATAATGTGGAATGACTTTTAAAAAGGAGATTTTTAAGGGGATTTCAGCAAGATGGCAGAATAGGGGTTCCCAGTCTATGCTCTCCTACAAAGAAGAGGAGGGAGGAGGAAAAATAGGAAGAAGAGGAGGAGGGAAAGGGGAAAGAGGAGGAGAAGAAAAAGAGGAGGAAGAAGAAGAATTACAAGAAGAATTAGGCAGCTATTCATGAAATAAAGCAGGCTGGGGAAGGTTCAAGATATTCTAATTAAGAACCTAGAGAAGCAAATTAGGGCAAGAAAATAAAATGAAAAATAACCACACAGAAATCATTGCTGGGGACACTGGCTTAGCAGAAGCATCTGGAGATGGCAAGGAACACAGAAGTGGCTATCTGTGTCAGTCCTGGGGCAGGTGCCACCATAGTTGCTAGTGACCTGCTTGCTCTGCAGATGACCCTAGCAGTCTTTACCAGTGAAGACTTTGACAACCTCTCTCACAGTCATGACTTCCCACAGCTTCTTCAGGGAAGTACACCACATGTTTGTCGGTTCCAACTTCAGCACCTTGCTACCCAGAAGACCGCAACAACTTTGACCACCAAGGTAATGAGCGGCCATAGCTACCGTGGTCTCCTCCAAAGACAGACCCTATTGCACCCCCCTCCAAAAAAAGATTTGTAGTCTCACTTTTCTGGGGCCAGAGTTTCTAATTGCCATCCCTACATACCACAAAACTCATAATCAAAGTTGCTCTATTGGTATTGTCGCTTCAGACTGCTGGCTAACTGGCACCCTCTGATCCCAGACCACTGTCATTCCACAAGAAGCTGTGCTGAAGTTTCTAAAGCTATAGGCGTTCCATGGTCCTCAAGGGACCCCAAACAGACTTAAACCAAAGAAAACGTCACTTAGACACAATATATTAAAACTTACAAAAATAAAAGGCAAAAGAGTTTTCAAAGCAGCAAGAGAAAAGACTTAACTCGCACCAGGGAACTTCTATGAATTTCTCAACAGATTTTCAGCTGAAACTTTGCAGGCCATGAGAAAGTAGAACAGTACTTTCAAAGAATAAAAATAAATAAATCTGCCAACCAAGAATATTTCACCCACAAAGTTGCCCTTCAGAAATGGAGACCAAGTCTTTCCCATACAAACAAAAGCCAAGGGAGTTCATGGCCACTAGACCCACCTGTCAAGAGTTGCCAATGAAGTTCTTCACACTGGCCTGAATTCTTCACTATTTCATCCAGATTGCTATTATCAGCTACACCTGGAAATTCAGATATAGAAACACAGGCATTAGTCATAGGGAATTATTTTGGGGGAGTAATTTGCATATCCAAAAAAGATGCTCAGTTTCATTCATTTACATTAACTGGGTGGCATAAGTGCCATACTTATTCATCCAAAA